GGGGGGGGGGGGTGAGAAAACATTTCTTCTTCTAACTCTTTTGCACTAATATGAATTCCCAGTGAAATGTCTGGCGAAGTAGGTCAATGGGATTTAGAAAGTTTGTGCTGTTTTTTTTTCTCCTCCCTCTCTCCTCATACTGTCTTGTCAATGGAAAATGAGCAATGCGATTAGGAGAAGGGAAGATGATGAGCTACAGAGAGTGAGTGAAAAAGAGCAAAAGAAAGAAAGAGAAAAAAAAGACAGGCTTGAGTGGTGGTTTGGGCCTCTCACAGGTCCCTTACCAGCTGACTGAGAGACCCAGACAAAGAGAGTGAGAGGAAAAGGGAAGAGAGAGATTTGTATCTGTGCTCTGGAGGAAGGGAGTGGCTGATGTCTCGTCATCTTGATATTGAAGCAACAATCTAATTATACAGTTTCTCCAGGGAATATGCATATGAGGGTAATCAGTAAATAGAAAAAGGTAATTATTTGCCAGAAGTCATACCCTTTGCACCTGTAAGCACTGCACCGATACACAAGATTGTGCGTTTTCCTATAATTTACAATAAAGATAGTTTATCAGCAGCTAAATTGTTTCGTTAATTCATAATAAGTAAATGAATTTCCCAGTTATTGAATATTTCATGGTGCCTGTCAAAATATAATGAGTAAAGTTTGGTCAAATACAAATGGGCCTCTCTTGGTAATTTGCCAGAATGTTCCTCGGGGTAAATCTCTGCCAGTGAATGTGATTGAATGTTACAATTAAACGTACTAATTCATTGTCAAAAGCAACTTATCTATACACATGATATATTTGGCGCTTAATTGGAAAGCACATTTAGAAATGGTTTCTTGGGTGACTTTCTACATCACGGCCTAATCAGAATAAATTCTGCCTGCTGTAATGAATTGAAGTTGAATATTCGTAGTTGGGCTATTAAAGAGACTTGAGGAGTGAATTATTTAAATGCTAATTAATGTTTTAAGCTTTCCAACCTGCAATAGGCACATATTATTCCTCAGTTCCCCACAAATGGCTAATTTCAACATTCACTAAGTGGAGGGTAACTTCTTGCTCATATTTCATTCAATTCAATTCACCCATACAGCTACCTCTAGCCGATGAGGGAGGAAGATGGAATCCATCAATACTGGGAGACAGTTGGTGGAATTACTTATGAACTCTTAGCTGGGAATTCAGTTTTCCACTGGCTGCATTGATGAATCATGGGAAACTTGCTTCAAGCCTGGTTTTGTCATGCTTTCGTCTCTGACACAGTTGTTGCTCTTCCTTTTTACCATAAAAGATTAAAGTCTTTATTGAAGTCCCCCTTTTTTCTTCTTGTTCCTACAGTTGGATATTTTTATATATAAAAATATATTATATATTTGAACTCCACCGTGCAGAATAGTGTATGTGCAGAGTTTGACACTAGAAGAATGTTTTCACATTAATCTTCTGAAAATGAAAAATGTCCCTCTTTGTTGAAAATCTGATTTTTAAGGGGCGGGGCTTACAAGCAGAATTTGTGACATCACAAATAGTTTGATCCAGTATGAGATTTATAGTATGATGTGAAAACTTGAAGGTGCCAGTGCACTGAGAATGGACTTGACAGTGAAGTTGAGGACGTCTTGTGTCCAGCAGGAAGACTTTAGAAATGAACAAACAAATAAACAAACAAACAAAAGAAGATTCTGACATTTTTTTATTAGGTCGGAATAGATGGCTTTTTAAGAATTTTAATGTGGAAATCATACTTTTTTGCAGATAAAACACATCAGACACACATCATTGTTCCAAGCAGACTATTTGTGTATATGTCTTGATACATGTCTGTAGGGAATCTTTAACACATTGTCTGATTTATTTGTTTCCACCAGTGTCTCCACCTGACAAGTTGCATATTACATCTGTTTAGTGCTTTGCGGTATGTCACCATCCCTCTGCAGAGATTTAAAGATCACCGGCAGCTTCTGACAGAGCCACAGATATTAGATGAACTTCATTAGCGTTGAAATAGTGTGAGATGCGGTTCAACCTTGTGTTCAAAGCAGCCTGCAAAGAAGTTCTAATGCGAGCGGCAGTGGCATTATTCATGTTTCCACAATAGCTTGTTATTCATCATAAGACAAAGGAGAATCTCACTCGGCTTGACATAGATGGAGGAGGGCCACAAGGGTATTACTCACATCTGCTGAAAACAGTATGCACAGCCAACTGGATGTCACGATACGCCATGCTTATTAATGCAAACAAAGTCTCCCAACACAGAATATAAATGACATTTTCCTTCACATCAGAGCATAAATATTAATTGTGTTAAATCTATGATGTATTGCGGTTAGGGACTTGCTTTAGTTGTTTATTGTTAAACCAACAGGATGCATTTTATTAATCAAAGCAGCAAATCATGTGACACCATATTGTAAAGTGCAGTACAGAGCACACTGAGTTATTAAATTCAAAACCATAGTTCCCTTTAATACCACAAGGTGGCACTGTAGGCTTACAAACAGCTACCATCAAACTGCACATCCTTGTCTCTGGTTCTCTGATTACTGATAAGAACGAAGATCAAGTTGATTTAATTGGCGTGTCCTTAAACTTGAACCTACAATTTCTGTTTTCCTTCTTTTACCAATACACACCTATACACACTAATGTCCAAGCCTAATATGCAAAATGGTTCTCAGCCTTGTGGATCAACAATGCATTGTTCAGCACTCCATATAAATAATCCTACCTTAACCACAGTATGCACAAAGAATCAACAGAAGGCTTTTCGCCTTGTTCCCTCTTTTCTTTCTTTAAGTAGAGAGTTTGCACAGCTGTCCATGGAGCACAAATGGCATTACACTCTCTTCCCGTGGCAGGACATCTGTTGCTTTCAGCTGGCATCCCTTCTGAGTCTACTGGAGTGTGCTTTATGCAGCCTGACGGCATTATGACTGAGTTTTTTCGCCCCTTTTTTGATGGGCTCTTCTCAAAGTGATAGATTAAGTGGTACAGGAGTTTTGTGTCAAATATAAAAAGAATAACCAAATGGACTGTATAATGTGTGAATTATTTCCCCTTGTACTTCAAGGGAACCTTCAACCTTCCAGTTAACCTGTAATGCAAGGTATTATACTTTATTTTCAAGTACATTGTGGTAGCTGCATATCAAAGACACACTCACCTGCCTCCCACAGTTAGATTTAAGGAGGCGATAAGATCTTAGAGATGTGGACAGACTGCCAAACTGCGTCACTTCAAGCCTATAGGTGCCTGCAGTGTACTTGAGCAAATAACAATGCTGTTACTCAAGATGATACAACCATTAATATTGCTATTAATCACTGACAAATAAATTCATACACAACCTTCTGCAGCAGCTTGGTCTTACAGCTGCATTGGCCCTCTGAGTAAGGGACTCTATCCGTAAAAACTCCTTGTATAGATTGACTGGGAACTAATACAGAATACTAATTTGCATTCCATTTAATCGACTTAAAACTCTTTGTCCATGTCCTCACGTCTCCTGCTAAAGTCACATTTTCTATAAAGGCAACCAAGTAAGCCTATTTCTTGCATTTTTCCCTGACCATTTTCTAAACTGGCAAGAAATTCACAGACAATAGTGGCGCTCTAGATTTCGGATCTAAAATCAAAGGAAGCAGGTTGGTTAGTTGAACTGGACTGACTCATCTAATTTGTATGAAAGTGCGAGTCAGATGCAAAAACATAAAAAAGTGAAACATTTTCTTTTTATTCGTCTGTCTTCTCATGTGGATTGAGCACTTTTGTATTCCAAGATCACCTTCGCATACTCTCGTCCAGACTGGTACATGGTTCGTCTTAGGTTTGCATCCGCAAAGTCCACATGGAACAATCCAAAACGAACGCTGAATCCATCAGCCCATTCAAAGTTGTCCAGCAGCGACCATGCAAAATATCCACGGACATTGACCCCATCTTCCTGTATAGCTATACATGGACACAGAGAGTTAAAACATAGAAATAGAAATAAAAACAGAAGTATACCGTCTTGTCGAAAAACAAGATAAGCATCATTAATAAGATTTCTGAAACATACCAAGAGAATTAAGTATTTGCAACAAGTAGAAAACACAGTAGCTTAGTTTAATGCTCATCAAGAGCAAGCATCCTGTAAAGCCATGCAGACTGACACAGAGAACACACAGAAATTATAAATCCTAGAGCTCCTGAAAAAGGTAGACAACCTTCAATATCCCTGGCAAAAGAAAATACCCAGATTGGCCAGATGGTGGTGCCAAAACAACCAACTACTTTTGGGCAATAATCCCTAAGCCTTATGGTCTAAAATAGTACTATTTGTAGCATGGTATTTTTTCTTTTTTGCATGACAGAGCCTTTATATAGGTTCATAGTGGCTTGTTCTACTGTTGGAGTAGAGAAAATACAAAAACATTTTAATACCATCATGTATACTACAAAATGATTTACATATTTAAATAAATTATCCTGCAAACTGCAGCATAGTGAAAACAGAACTTAAAATAAAAAAGACATGCCAGCAACTTTAACACTGCTTCCCTAAACACTATAAACTATCATGGTATTAAGATATTTCTCAAGACACAAATGCAGTTTGAGAGCAGTTGTTTCAGCTATGCAGTGATATAGGGGTATATAAACAATTCAATTCATATATAGGAAATTAAAACCTGTATACAGGTCAATCACCCAGCACTAGTCTGAAAATGAAATAATATTCATAAAAATTATGTTTTTCTTCTGTTTTCATGAATCAGGAAAAGTCCACTGCACATCCAGATTTTTGTTTCCATTATAATGCATTTTATATCAGTTTAAATGTAACCTATTTAGTGTTAAACAAAAGTATCCCTCCAAAATATCATACAAATGAACAAAACTTGAGCCAAGGATTTAACAAAAATGATAATAGTGCACAGATGGTGGGTGTTGTCAGTGAATTTTTGTATGTGTGACAAATTTATACCCAATTGCAAGAGGGATGAAGGTTTAACAGACCACATTTGATCCTCTTTAGTAGTGTTAATTTTACTAGGACAATTTGCCAGGGGAGTTGTTCATTGGCAGCTGCAGGACTGTGCTGAAAATGCTGAACGCCCCATTGGCTTGCACCCTACTACTGTCTGCTAATGGCTATTTGCTTATTTCCAGTGCAGATTCACAAGCCATTACCTTTAGCCACTTCAAAGATGGTGTCCTTATAAAACTCTGAGCGCTGGACATCCTCAGTTTGCAGTGGCCCCACCTGAGAGAAGCCATTCTCTGTAATGTAGACTGCTGGGTTGTTGAATGTGTCCTGAAAAATCATGGGGCAAATATTATTGTCAAACAAGGCATCTCAGCTGTCAGACATTCCAGGGAGAGACAGATTGGTCTACACTGTGCCGTTTAGCTGCATTTCAACGGTGCCAAGCTCAAACTAATGGCCTGTGACAAGTCACAACAGCAGGAAATTGCAATTGCAAACACTTTGAGCGAAGTAACTGTTTCATTCAATGTGACAGCACTAATGAAGCATCAATGTGTTTCTGGAGGTGTTAAAAGGAGATTACTGCATACAAAATCAATAGCAAGGCACTAAACAAATGTCAGTGTTCTCCTCGTTTGGTTGACGGTGATTTGTCTCCTTGTTGGTCAATTCAGTTTGATGCCAAGAGGAAAAAAGAAAAATGACTTCACATTTCAACTAATTGAATTCACAGTTTGGAGGAGCTTTTGGTGACGTGGACACCAACAGATGAACCAGTAGCTGCAGTTTTACCTTGATGTACTTTAGAAGGTTCCTTAATCCGTGGGGCACTACAGCGAGCCAGGACACACCACAAATAGGCCAGGACGGATCCAAAACTTCTCCTGCGTCTCGGTCGCTCTTCATACACAACGTCTCTACGCAACCTCCTCCTGGTTCCACTTTACGAGACGTATAGTAGTTCAACGCAAAGAAGTCAGCTGTGCCCAAGATGGCAGGTTCATCCTTTGAGAAACTGGGCAGTCTTGAGCTGCCACTGTATCCAAACTTCTTACTTTGAGCGTCAATGGCAGATCTCATTATTTCTGGATAATCTCCAGTTACGAACACAGGCCAGGCAAACCACCCGAGTGTAAACGCAAGGGAGCGTTCAGTGGCAGCGATATCCTCGGCGCAACCTGCTCTTGATGGCTCAAGCCAGTCGCTGTTGATGGCCAGAGACACCGCACCCTTCTGCCCTGTCCTGTAGAAGGAGTTGTAGCTGTGCCAGGCCATGGCATGGGCACGCAGCATGTTATGGCCCACCAGGTAGGCAGCAAGCCCTGGTTCTTTTAACCCTGGGGCATGGATGCCGTCTTCATGGCCCAGTTTTGCGCACACATAAGGCTCGTTGATAGTGATCCAAAGTTTGACGCGGTCACCAAATGTTTGGAAGCAAAACTTGGCATAGCTGTCAAACAGGGTCGCTATACCCGGTGATTTCCAGCCACCCTGATCTTGGAGAGCTTGAGGCAGGTCAAAGTGGTAGAGTGTCACCATAGGTGATACATTGCAGGTCAGCAAATCATCAATCACCTTGTTGTAGTATTGCACACCTGTAGGAAAGATACACAGTGTTGTTGTTAATGGGCAATAAGGTAAAACAGCACTAAAACCATCAAGTGAGCTTGTTCCATTGTGTTGTTATGGATTCAGGTGTGGGATGCTTCTAATGGGGATATGGAAATACTGTACCTTTTTGATTGATATGTCGTGTGGTCCCATCGGGCAGGAGGCGGGCCCAGGAGAGAGACAGGCGATAGTGTGTCAATCCAAGCTGCTGGATACACTCCAGGTCCTTCTCCCACAGCTCGTAGCTGTTACAGGCCACATCACCATTCTGCTCCCCAAACACTCTGCCTTTCTCGTGACAAAATGTGTCCCAGATACTCGGTCCCTTGCCGTCTGTCTGCCAGCCACCTCAGTGGGCACAAATAGGTTGTTTCATTTCGTAAAAGTATAAAAGTATGTGGGATTTTGACATAAAAAAAACACAGTAATGTTTCTGCTGGGACTGTAAGTGTGTCTGTGGATTTTACTGAACTCATTGTGACTCTGTAGTTGTCTCCGGCTTATCTGTTGTCTGTTGTCTGTGTATTGTTTTAATGTCTGTAGATCTTTGTCAGTGTCAGTCTATTGAGGTGACCTGTGAGTTAGAGTTCAAGTTGGTTCAGAGACTGTATACGGTCTGTAGGTTAGTCAGACATTCCAGTGGTAAAAAAAAAAGTAAAGATCTGTAACTCTGGTGTGAAAAAACTGCCCTTGTGCTTCGTGTCTCGGTGTGTGCCATTCACAGAGATTGGACACAACATCATAAACACCTCTGCAGTGTAACGTAATCTAATACAAAACTTCTGCAATAAATACAACCTTTATAAAGCTTATCTTGTTCAGTTTATTATAGTTAGGCTATATAAAGCTCCTGCTGTCTACGAAATAGCATAGTGCTATGTTTATAATACAACAGATCACCACAAAGTATGGCACAGTTAGTTTATGATACACTGAATAACATAATAATAAGCACATTTGTATCATTCATTGTGGAATCATTCACTCATAAGGTGTATTCAAAAAATCATAAGGTTATAGTCTAAATGGAAGCTGTATTTTAACTTTGTCTTAGTCTTTGTTGTTGTAGGGCTATTTATCACATTAGACTGCAGATTGATGAGATATTGGTAATATTTCCAGTTCATAAATCTCGTGTTTACTTACCTTCTATTTGATACGAAGCAGTTCCCGCTCCCCACGCAAAGTCACATGAGAACATGTTTTTTCTGTGTTGTTCAGTGTTTTAATGTCTTACTGCGTTGTGTGTATCTAATGTGTATGACTCATAGACATCTTACATTTAAACCGGTGTGTTCGCGCACAATGTAACAACACAGCCGTAAGTACTACGACCAGGAACAACTCCGAGATGTGTTTAGGGGTCGTGGCGGTTGTCATGTACATTGTGTTTTTCAAGCTAGGGTAAACTCAAAATATGCTTTCTCTTCGCTTTATTCTAGCCCAGTAGCACTGTCTGGATGCTGTGGCTAAACAATGAGTAACCAAAACTACTTTTAGTCTCATTTTAGTTTTAGTCTTTCGATTTTCCCTTAAAAGTTGCGCTCAAGATCCGAGAGATTACAGAAAGTTACAGTGGAGCACTTGAAAGCAGCACACGAGCCTACAGGCCTGCGTGATGACGTCTCGACTAGCTTGTGGACGTCATGTTTGGACTGTGCCCGGACAACTTTTAGTTTGTGCCTTTGGGGTGTAATGTCACTGGTTACATGTTAATATGATACATAAACAATTTGGAAGGGGTTATGATAAATTGTTACATTAAAAATTAAAGTAAATTATCTTTGTCGTGATGAGCAAAACAGCCTTAAGATTTAGTTTTGCTAGTATAACAAACTATATTAAATTAGTAGTTTTGTCATATACATAAAACAAATGTATAACAAAAGATTTTATAAAAACATATTCTATTAAATTCATTCAAGCTCAGTGAATATACTTTTCCTGCTGCATTACAAATGGGACGTCCTGTATACGGACACAAAAGGTCAAAAGGTCCTTGTCAGTGAACATCAAGCCTCACAAGTCCTGAAAACAAATAATGCAGGTGAAAGCAGTATAGCCTGAGGGCTTATGTTTCCTGGCCTGCGATCACTTCAATGCTATCCTCTGCCTCAGTTTTCTATGAAACGAAGTGACTCACTTGACCTAATCACAACAAGGAAAATAGATTGTTTTCCACAGGGCAAACTTAATCATTATCAGCTAAACGTCCTCCTCATATGGATACAAGATACAATTGGATTTTTGCTCCCCTTGTGACTCAATCTTTCATGGCTATTATGGGTACAGCAAACTGGGCTGGACTCATTTAGAGGCATCCAGGGGTGGAAGAAGTAGCAGATTCACTACCTTTACTCAAGTGTAAGTAGCAATACAAAAATGGAAAAATACTCAGTCTCAGTAAGTTAATGTCCTGTATTTCAAATGGCTGAATATTGAATATACAGAGGTACTGAAAGTATCACAAGAAAAAGCAGGCTACTAGTCCTACATGTAGACAAATCTAAAACTCCTTTAAGTGTATTATGAGTGTCATAATAATCATTATTATCTTTTACTTAAGGATTTATGCATTTTACTGCAGGAGCTGGTCAGTGAGGAGCTATAATTTAACTACTTTATATATTATTTGGTAGTGTTTTTGAGTTCTATGCAAAGTTATTATTAACAAGGCTGGTTTCTAAATGAACTGTGTTAGAGTAAAATGTGGGACATTTGCTTCCCAAAGGGAAGTAGCGTAAATTAAAATACTAAAGTAAAGTACAAGTACCTTAAAAATGTATTTGTATAGTACTTAGGTAGCCTACAGTTATTCCCATCCCCGAAGCCTAAATAAAGTTAAGGTCATTGCAACCCTGCCCTACAAACTCCAAGCAACTCAAGGGAAGACAACAATGCAAAGGATTTTATTCTGAAACGCGGACCGGATATGGTTTGAATTCCATCGGACTTGACGATAGTGGATCCCGGGGCAGGACCATGGGAAGAGGAGTTCTCAATGGACAGAGAAGTGGCTTTGAATACTTTCCAAAGACGCAGGGGAGCTAAAAGATACACAACAACCACTTTGGATACTCTTCTTTCAGCAATGTGAAGCTTTTAACTTTGTTTTTCGAGAATTCGCTGCCACAGTTTGAGCTGGAAAGGTGCCGTTGTAGCGCTTTTGTGTGTGTTTTTTTCTGAGCAATTTCCTGTTGGAGCCTGGAAAAGAAGAGACGGGGAAAGTTTACTCGCTCTTGTCTGGGTCAGCATATAGTCCAAAGTACTGGGAAATGATAGTTTTAACACGCCTTGGCCGCGTTTCCTAAAGTTAGTGCGGATAACCTGGGAATCAGTGCAGCCGCCTCCCGTGGAAAAGACAACAGTCTGGATTGGACCCCACGCTATGGGCAACAAAGAAAACCTCTCAACAACTGGACAAGTTATTTAGGTACCAGCGAGCATACTGGGCATGTAAAAAAAAAAAAAATTGCGGTTTCGCAGAGTTGGAGGAAAATGAACACCACTCCGGGATGGAAAGGGAATTATAAATGAGTCGTCTGGCAAACAAAGAAGAAGGACACCTCTGTCGGACTGAATGCCGCCGAGCGAAGGGAAAGCCCTGCGAGAAATGGAGGAGGAAGGCTCACTTGAGCCATACAAGAAATTGGCAAAGGTCTCATTTTTGTCTTTAACTGGGTCTGCTTTTCAGGTCACCTTTTCATAACGAAGCTACCCGGTATCAAACTACCAGTCTGCCCCCCCTGTTTACCAACCAAAACACTTGTTTTCTTTTCGCCAAATGCTGCGGCGGTTTTCCAGTCGCGTGTGAAAATGAGGGTGTATCTGGTGCAGTTGTTTGTGATTTCGCTGCTCGGCGGCGGCGGCGGCGGCTCGGTGGCATCATCTGATTGCAAATTATATGATGAACGGCCGAAAAGCGGAGGGAAAGTGGTGTGCAGCAACATGGAGCTCCATCAGGTGTTACCCCCGGACTCCTTCCCCAACAGGACGGCCACACTGTGAGTATGCAGGACATGCCTTTTTTGCCTTTCTTTAACCTTTAACACATGACTAAACTTGTTTTCCACTAAACTTTGGATCTTTAAAAGGTTCATTACCAGGTTTGAACAGCAGTTATCCAACGCTTAAGGCTTTTGTTTGTGAGTTTGTGAGCTACATTACTTACATACCCTGTAGTGTCTTACTTCTAGTATGTTTAGTGTCACTACAGGGACTTAAACATGTTTTTGTGATCCTTAATACTGCAGCTCTGTTTCCAAAAGGGAATTATCATTATCTTATAACTGTGTGGCTAACTTCCATGCAGTTTAAAAATAAAAACAAAACAAGTGTAGTTGTGTCCATCCCATGTCAGCCATACATCACTCTTTCACAGCTGCATACTGTAATGTAAATGTAAACCTTATGTAACAGTAACTGCCTGCCTTCCTGTAGTGCAGTGATTCACACACACAGGGAGATATTTTGGCTACTAAATCAGTGCTCGCAGGAGACACTTATCTTGCCACATCTCCAAGGCATTTTAATAGATGTCAGAGCTCATTGGCTGCTGTGTTAATCCGAGTGGTGTTTTTTTTTTTTTTTTACACTTGGCTGAAATATACACTCTCTGATGAGGTCACATCTTTCTTTATTGACAACACACCTCAGTGAGCCGGGTGTTCGACCCAGTTTTTGTTAAGAATTGCACTCGTGCATACAGTGGTTATATGGAACTTTAGGTTGGTTTTCTTGATTGGAAATTATCCACCAATGTTCAAGTAAAAAAAATCACAATTTCTCCATTTAGAGGCAACAGTTGT